CGGTCGCCTCCACGACCAGCAAGCCCGGCTTGCATACACGTTCCGTGTTCAAGAGCATAGAGCTCTTCGGGGCTGGGCACTATTGACCTCTACCTCCCTGAGGCTCATTAGAACTCAGTTTTTCCCCAGTAGGTCGTCCCGCGCCTACTGAGTGGTGCCGTTTCCCCGATACGAGCCAGACTGGTAGGCTTTTATGCTTTTATGGTTCGAAGAACCTTGACGCGCCTTGCGCAGGGGGCAACTGTTCCGAAGTATACGGGTGTCTCCGCAGACGAAACACCGTCATGTTCTTGTGTGCTGCCCGGCAGCTCGGACAGAATTTTTTAAATATGTATAAAAATATAAATATAAGCATAATTACTGGCTACCTAGCCACATACCGTATTCCTGTTTGAGTGCAGTCACACCATGTTTATCTCGTGTGACACACACACCTGTTACTAGGGTACATGAAGAGAAGAGACTGAGCAAAATTCTGATTGACATAAACTTGGCGACCGGTTCAAAGGATTCTTAACACTCGGTGCCGTACTTTAAAAAAACCAATGGACACGATGTATGCTCTGGAGCGATCAATCTCTTGCGCTTGCATTTTCTTGATGCAAAGCGCACAACAACAAGCAATTGCTTTTCAACCTAGGGACGATGGAGCCCATGCCGAGGATGTAATACTGTAGTGAAAGCCCACGAATTCCTTCTTCCCTTTGTCACGATTGATCAATTCCATCGTTGACTATCATGTGAGCGATAGTTTTACCACAGAATTTACAGCACAGGCGGCCTCAAATCTTTTTTTGCTTGCTTCCGACCACCAACAGTTCTGTCAATTGCGATCAGGTCCACGATTTGGCTCGTAATGTGTTTACCACTTTTTACAGTGGCTGTGCCTTATGATGTTTCTTACTTCATAGATCACCAGAAAAACATTCAATTTCACTACCTTCGTCTTACGATCAATTTTGTCAGGCTGCATCAAGCTTTGTATCACATTCTGTTGTCTTGTATGAAAAGTTTTATCTTTACTGAAGCACTTTTATCACTTTCGCACATCACAGCGTGATGACTAATGGTCTCATTAAAAAAATATTTCTCGCGAGCTCTGAGAGCTCGAGGAACCTTTGTTTCATCTCTTTAGGTGCATTTACTTGACGGACCAGCCGCAAATGCGTGACAGCCGTACAAATAAAATTCTCCAGCAGTGTATATTTACTACCCCATACTCGATGTGGCGACATGTCGTCGCTGACAGAACTTGAGGGGAACGATTGCGCAGATACCTTGCCGTCATCAATGTTTTATTCCGTTGTAACTCTGCCATACCAATATGTCTTAACATGCAGTTCGCACATTCCGCCAGCGTCGGCTTCATTCACTCAGCAATGCCGTTCAATCAAGGTATATACGCAGGCATTAACTTTTGAATGATGCGTCGACGTTTATAGATTTAGATATCTCACCCGACGTGTACCCGCCACCGTTGTCACCTTGAAGAGTCCTAACAAATTTACCTGTTTGTGTGGTAGCACACGCACTGTCGTGATAATTCGAGTGAATATGCTATCGGTTTAGGTCACACAGCACCCCCCTTAATCGCAATCAGCGAGGCGCGACAAGTGTTTCATACCAGCTGAATGTTGAGTCGACGATCTTCATGACCAAGCCACTCGACTTTTTCTGTCTCCTAAAATGCATGATTGATCTGTGGGAGTGATGTGTCGTAGATAGTCCTTTCGCACCGATCTGCATGTAATTGTGTGTGGGTGAGAGCATCACGCAATGCAGATAAATATATGCTCGTGAGGTTTGCGACGTGGTGGCTAACACGCTGTGCAAACAAATATGAGACGACCAATAGAATTATTGAGTGTATTGAAGGGTGCTATCGATCTTCACTTCTCCACATATACGATGACTTTGTCCAACAAAGTTCTTGTTTGGCATCTTGATGGATTGAACTAATCAATCCTATGTGCTCTATTTAGCTCCGTCTTAAAGTGTCAAATCTTTCTCTGTGCGAGGTGCACGACAAACCCGTTGCTGCTGGAGCTATTAGCTCTGATGAGAGGCAGTAAGCAGTAGAAATCTTGATTTATTTTTGCATTGTGTTCTCTGGGCGTGTACATCGTGCCATCTGTTTGCGAGGTTGTTAGCATGAGCTTAAGAACAAGATTGAAGTTACGCGTGTGGTACTTAGATATGAAGATATGAAAGTAAAAATACAGATTTTGTCGCCGATTATAATAATTAGCGACAAAAGCTACTCTAACTCTAACAACATTAAATAAAAAGAGGGAATGAAGCGTCCACATTTTGATTCTCCACCGCTGCCGAAGCGCAAAAAGCGTCGAGGACGCCGCAAGTCTAAAGCGGAACGACTGGCACGCATAACCTCTGAGCCTAAACAAACCGATGACTTATTTAGACTGTTAAATGATTACTCTAGTTGCAAATGGGACGCAGCGCAGAGTCTCGCACTGCGAATGGGGACTCCGGACGCCCGAGCGATGGTCGTCCGTATAATTTTAATAAAACACAAAGCCCCTCGAGCTGCGGCCCATTATGCTAAGCGTCTTGATATGCAAAATCATGAGCTGCTGAATGCTGTTTTGTCAAACTCATCGCCTTCGTCGCTAGCACCTCTTTTGCTAGCTCAATTTCTGGTCGAGCTTGACGAAACTTCGTTGGCGACGGAAGAAAGACTCAATCGATTTTTATGGCCATGGCTACTTCAAATTGTGGAACAGCAGGCAGAAATAGCATCAGTGAAGGCGGCCGTGCACTTGCTGCTGCATCCAACATCGTCTGACGACGCAAAAGTGCAGGAAAAGAAGGAACAGGGACGGAAACTAGAACGTGCTTTGGTGACTAAGTGTCTGAAAGAAGGAAAGTTGCTTCATCTTGTTCCACCACATGCGCTTGCATTTGCGGATCGAATGAGTGTCTGCTCTTCGATAGCTCATGAGGACGAGAAGACGGACCTGAAGTTTGAGGAGACTATCGATGTGGAGATGCAGCGACGATTCAGTGTCGCTCATCACGTACAAGAGGTCCTTCGTCTCATGTGGCCAGATACCCGAGTGTTTCTTTTTGGGTCCTCCGTCACTGGGTTTTTGTCGACTTTTGTCAACGACGAGTTTTATTCACCCGACGTTGATCTCTGTGCACTGCTGCCATCTTCTCCTCAATTCCGCCAGGATACGGCGCCTCTAATCACCGAAATAAAAGAGCATCTAAATCTATATTTTTCTTCCGACATGACTGAAGATAGTGAGCAAGTCACTGCTGTCACAAGAGCTCGTGTTCCTATTGTGCACTTCGTGGACCCATCGACAAACCTTCTGTGTGACCTTTGCGTCAATAATGTGTCTGCATTATGGAATACGCGACTGTTGCGGCGGCTATTGTATGGTGGCGCTGACATCACTACGTTAGAGCAACAACAATTGGTACATGTCCGACATTTTTGCAAATGGATCCGTAAATGGCGTCGCATAAAGAAGCGTGCCGTTGGAGGTGCTTTGAGCTCTTACGGACTTATGCTGCTAGCCATCTACTATTTGCAGCGAATAAGTGTTCTTCCTGTTCTGGACTGTAGTACAAACGCCGTCGAAGATGAATTAACTCTTCGCACTCTGACGGAAGAAGAACTAGACAAGAGGATTCAGGCTACTGACACTGTATTTGTTGACGCCAACGATAAATGTCAAGTCGTACGACATTGGCAGACACTTCGTCGTGGATTTTTTCGCTTTTACACATGCGAATTCGACTACGAACAGACAATTGTCAGCTTACGAACAAAAGAATTAATGTATAAAACAAGCAAAGGCTGGTCTCGTCAAAAGAATACCCGACTCTGTTTAGAAGATCCGATCGAAATCGAACGCGATCTTGGACTTTTATGTTCGAAGCGTGCACTAGGTCGTCTGCGTTGTGCCTTTGCTCACGCTTGCATTGTACTCAGCAAAGCAGAAGAGAATGAAGATCTAAGAGACTTAGAAACAAATTTACTGGCTTCGTGGAAGTACGAAGACGAAAATGCTTGACAGGAAAAATCGATGGTTGCTGTTTTGCCGATATAAATAGCACTATGCACCAGTTTAGGTCGTACAGCAAGATGCTGAACGGTGAACATGACGCTTCCAGTAGCGTTAGTGGGAAGCCACAAAGCTTTGAGAAGATAGTGTTAGAAAGAGCTTTAAAACGAAGACTCAAGTTGCAGCACTTCTTAGTGCTACGCGCTTATAATCTACGGCGTCCAAACGAGACTTTACATCAACAGTTTCAATTTCTCAAAAGATGTGGCGAAAATGTCAACAAAGGAAAGGAAGTTTTGCAGCTAAATGATCTGTGTGCTTACTTGTCTATTCCTCCGTATCGTCGCCTTCTCCTCGTCGAAGTACTACATCTAAACCCAGGGCAAACGCAGGTGAGTTACGATGATTTTGTGCATTTCTTACAATCGGCAGCAGTACGTGCAGTGGATGCAGAGCGCCAGCAACAAGATACAAGTCTTCCTCCTCCACCTTGTCGCAAACCTAAATCAAACCATGTGAATGAAGCTCTTGCTTGTTATGATCCGTCACGCGTGAATCATGAAGTTACTCGAGCTCCACCAGCTCCTGGTGTCTGGAAGAAACGAGAAGTGACGATTCAAGAGCGATTTACAGAGTACACCAAGATTGATGACAAAGGTACACCACAGCGCCTTGTGGAGAAGGAACGACATCAAACTGAAGTGTTGCACATGGAGTCACCTGATGGCGAGTTTGCTCATCGTGAAATCACTCAATTTGAACAAACAGAGCATCTAAACGACGAAATTGTTCATTTGGACCATGGGTGTGAGGAATTTCTTCACTTAAAGTCTCGGCATGATGAGATTTCGCGATTTGAGTCGTCCGTGCCGTCTGGGGGTTCAAGTGGTGGCGGTCGTACAGGGGAATGCGAGCAGCAACCGCCATCGCCTTCGATCAAACGAGATCCTTCTGCAACAACTACCTGGACAGTGAATGAACGCACTGATGATAATTTCGAAACAAACACGGAGTGATTAGCATAGAATGGGACACTTTAGCCCGTGATTTGCAATTAAGTTAAACAGCGTAGAGTGCCGTGATATTGCAAAGCAAGCTAACGATGTAATCAGCAGCAGTCTTGCTTACTTATGCTGATGTATTTTTACCATTGGCAGTACGCACAATGTGAGCTAGCTCTCAGTGCTAAGATTGCTATCACTGCTATTGTTACTCAGCGAGTAACCCGATCGTTTTGTCGGTGTAACATCCCCGCTGTTTTTGCTGTTATCACCATTAACGGTCTCTGGATTGTCCCTTTTTTCGACCGCTACTGTTCGACTCATCATTTCTTTCATTTCGTTCTGTTCAGCGTAGTGGATACAATCAGCGATGTAATCGACAAGCTCTTGACAGGTGAGACCCTCATGCGAAATGATTTTTAGCGGCGCGACCTCAATTTGCTTTTCTGGATCAGACGTTAAAGGATCTCTGTCTGCACCAGGAGAGACGGATATTTCAACACGAAATCGTTGAGGGTCCGATAGTGCAAATTGAACGCGCTCAAACACACGTACAACGAAGTGCGTCATATAGCAAAGTTCGGGAATGTCTTCAATCCACTTGCGTGATTCCTCACCGATTGGGCTTTTAATAGCGCAATCCTCGCGCCCATATCGAAGAACGTTTAATAATGAGTGCAAGTGTGACTCACTTGTAAAATACAAACGTGTGCGCACCGAACGGTGAGCTGACTTGACTTTCTTGGCGTAGGACGGATTGAGACGGTGTGTGTTGTGGTCTTTCACAACGTCCGGCTGAAGGCCGCGGGCTAAATCCAGGTCAATGTTGATTTTTGATAAGAGAGTTCGGCACATGGCTGACCCAATAAAAATCTTCTCGTCCGCGTTGATGCCATACTCTTGGGGCACGAGAGCGTGAGATAGCGCGCTTGAAATTTCTAGCAGCTCACGTACGTCGGTAAGATTTAAGTGGGCATTGTGCACTGCGTCGTATCGAATACAGTCGTGAATATCTGGGATTTTGGACAGATCGTATGTGTCGCGTTTCTTAACGTAAAAATCACGGTAGAGCTTAGCCCATCGCTCTCTCATAACTTCAAGAGTCTCGCGACCACAAGGTTCAGGGTATTTAATTTCCTCAGGAGGCAATGTTTCTTGCGATCGTAACTTACGTAAACTCACGCTGCTGTTGGCAGCATCACTAGAAATATTGCTTCCATTACTGTGTTTTTCGCGCGGAGTGTATGAGTGGACGTGACGGCTTTTGGATTGATTTAACTCATTTACACTCGCTGAGCGACCGATTGCAGGTACTACCAGGCGACCTGCATCAGCTTTCTCCTGCAGCCACCTGTCAATCTCAGTCTTGTACTGAGCTTTTTCTTGTATCATTCGAGTAAGTTGCTCCTTCAGCGACTGCAGTAGCTTATGCATTATCCCCATTTTTCGAATCGGCTGGTCCACTTTAGTAAGTGCAAGTGCTACGGAACGAATTAGTCGAGAATTAGATGCAATTAATTGGCTGCAATGGTCTTCACGATGAATTATTTTGTGCAGACGCTGTTTTACCCGCATAATAATCTCTTGTGCGGAGGATCCCGACTGGTCTAACATTGAGTCTGCGTCTTTGGACTTTAAAACAAGGCCAACAAGGATAGGAATGATGTCACCCTCAAGCTCCAATAAACCTTTAGCGAACGATGCTGCGGTCTTTTGAACACGACCTTCGTCACTTGTGTAAATCTTCAAATCGTGTCGGTACGTTGAATGGAGACGATTCAAGCCACCAGCACCACCAGGGTACATCATACGCCGAAATTTCTGCCCCAGATGTTCAGCTTGCTCTTCACCTGTGTGAGTCAGATCTCCTCCCCATTTGATTATCAAGAGCAATTTACTGACTCGACTCGTTGTGACCTGTTCCCCATTGTTGTCAGTTCCTCCAGCTGGTATTGTCACAAAGTCTTTAGGCTTCAGCTGCACTTTACGATTAATACCTACAAGTTGCCATCGTTGCAACACATCACGAAGTGTGCGATAACCTTTCACACGGTCCGTTGCATCTTCACCGAACTTGACCTCGCGCTGTTCCAAGAAATTCATGAAAGCAGGATCTCGGTTTTCGTATTTTAATAACAGATCGGTGCTCACCTGAAGCAAACGCTCCAAATTCGCAACAGCCTTTACTTTGAGATCCATTTTCTTCTGTGTTTTTAAATCAATTCCGTCTCCATTTTCTTGCTGAGATTCACGCAATCGATCCTCGTAAAATTGTAGAAAAGCGGGATGACAGACGTTCATTTTCATCTTTTGCTTGGGTGTACGGTCACCATGTCGAATGACAGCCAAAACGCAACGCAACTCTTCTTCTTGATACAAAGCGTCGTCTTTTCCATCCGTAATACTGTCGGCCTCAGACAATTCCGACTCGGCGACTGACGTAGAAGGACCACGATAAAGTGCGTGTCTGTGTGCCGTAGGTGGTTCCGAAAGTTCTGTACTCGAGAATGGGGCATCAGGTGCGAATCGAAACGTGACTGAGCCAAAGGCAGAGCTATCAATGCCAAAGTCTTCGTCCGTCATTGCTCCTCCGCCTGCCAGCGCTTGCTCCAGGTATTGAGTAAGTAAAATACCGCAGTCATCGTAATATTTTTCCGAATTCTTGACAAAACTCCAGCCATTAACATCGCACACATAAGAGGCATCGCGTACGCGTAAAATATCAAAGCCGCAGATAGTTTGCTTGAAAGCTCTGCATATTCGATAAGCAATTTGTTTCTCCTCGGTTGACAAAATGACTGGGTATCGAATTTCTTTTCCATCTGCGTCTCGCACAACTCGACCGTCCAAAACAGGAGACTTTCGAGCTTCAGCGTGGGCATAATGTGGCCCCACCGTATATACCTTGACGTCTGTCCCCTGTGTAGATAAAAACTCCTCATAAATGTACGAACCTCCTTGTCGCACAGTATTTACTTGTGGATCGTATTCACTCGATCGATTCCCAACTTTCCGGAACAAGCGCTTGCAACCCCCACCAGCGCTCATTGGGTAGTAAATGTAAACATTATGATCCTCTCCGTCCACAGGCTTCTCTACAAACGGTTTGTTGATACGAAAACCATCAACCTGAATAAAGTCATCCCCTTCAACGACTTCAGGATTTTTTTCCTGACCACCATATCCATCGCGACTAACGAAAACATGACGCGGCGTTGGGACATCGTGTTCCTGTAGCACACGATAAACCTCTCGGCGGTCTTGAAGAAGGTACTGTGCACTCAGATCATTTACAACTACAGGATGACGCAGCTCCACATACTGCTGAACTTTTTGCAGCGGAAAACCTTGTGAGAAAAATGCAATTAAAGCATCGCAGCGAGGCCACGCGGCCACAGGCATGTGCAAAATCATCTCGTCCCCAAAGAACTCAATACGAAAAAGATCAAGCGGTAATCTCTCCAAAATCTCCAGCATTGGGGGTGAGCGGGCCTTGCGTTCCATGACGCAGATGCCTAACGTGTACCTCGCATCGGGCTCAGCGTATGCCGCAGAATTGGGCGATCTCATTGACAAAATGCCAAGTGCCAAGAGAATCTATACTGATTGGCAAATATAAAATATAACTAGTTCAGTTCTCTATGTGCCATCTGTCGCGATGCTAGAGTCAAATGATTGCTCGATTCTCTTCTTTACATTCTAACAACTAATTGTACATTAATAAACTGTCATGTTGATAGTTACTTCGTCTTCGTCATATTCGCGATAAACCTATGTATGGCGCTTTAAATAAATATAAAAAGCTATTTCGTCATGTACCATCGTTATTCTTGCTTAGGTCAACCAAATACAAATACTGTCCGGCGAGTGTGCGACGTTTACTAAGCACCATTAGATTATGCAAAATGCTAACTTAAAGCAAGTGCCTCGGCCCGGGATCAAAAAGAAAAAGAAGAAAGATTTAACTAAACTATACACCCCGCCACCAAAGATATATTTCCGAGACCCCATTGGCTTTGAATTGCCTTCATCGTTGCATAAGTTTCGATGGAATGGCGACAAAGTGGAAAGGAAGCTGCAGGAAAAGATTCAAGAGAAGACGCAGATTGTTGGGAACTTTGTATACCAGCAGGCCTATCGCTTATTGGAAGGTCCACGAGGCAAAGGGATTGATTTTGATAGTTTTCGTGAGCAACTTCGCATCAAATTTGGCATCCTGCTTGACGATAGCGAGCTCCGCTTGCTTTTTGATAAATTCGATGAAGATAAAAATGGTAAAATTGACATGCAGGAATTCATTAGACGCGTTTTGCCGCCTGATTACAACTTTGGTGGGCAATGGTATGAAATTAGCCAGTTAGTAGGGGAAGAAAAAGCTGCACACCTTCGAGACGAAGCACGTCAAGAGTTTCTAGTCTGTCAAGGCGACGCAAAAATTGTTCATATCAAAAACATGGGCGCGGTTTCCAATTGGACGTTAAAGCAGTTAGTACAGCAAATTCAAGCTAAAGTCCTGCAAAAGACTCCCAGTAGTGAGGACCAATATCGTCGTGCATTTAAAATGCTTCGTTCTGGGAGAGACCAAGGTATTCGAATCAAGGGGCTTCAATATAATCTCAGGACCAAATTTGGGATTTATGCGACTGACGATCAAATGCGGCAGCTTTTTTCGATGTACGACCTAGATAGCAACGGTGAGATCGATCTAAAGGAATTTTTGCAACTTATAGATCCGCCGGCGTTTCCTTCAAACAGCAATGTACCCGGAGGGATTTGGACACAAAGCGACAGCGACAGCGAGGACGAGGACACGGTTGGTGACAAAAATGAAGGGATAGATGCTCAGACGTTGTTAGCACCACCAGCAACTTCTTTGTCACAGAGATCTGCGTCTTCTGACTGCATCGATGGACAAAATACTGATACAGATAAGCCGATGCGGGCTGAAAGGGAGCGTCCAAGGACAGCAGATCCTCTTATGTTGCAAAAAAGGCGCGAGAAGTTGGAATATCAACAATTGATGTGTGACAACATTAAGCAGACATGCTTGATGCCCATAAATCCGGTTAAAGTGGTACCATCACGAGCCGGTGAATGCGAAGAGAACGGCAAAGTCCCGCTTTCTCGACTGTGGAGTCGTAGCGTCGTTGATCTTAAAGAGGCAGGTATGGATAATATTTCGAATCGAAGTGAACGAAGTCACACACGACCTCTTAGCGCTGGCAGTGTGCGATCATATTGTTCATCGTCTTGTAGCAGTATTAAAAGGGCAACATTCATGAAGCGATCTTCAACACCACAGACACTTCGACAAAAGTGTCTGGAATCCCGTAAAGTACTAAAAGGTGCAGGTGGTGAAGCTTACCTGAAGAGCCAGAAGAAGCAGGCACCGAAAAAGGCCGCTCAAGATAGTGCAGAACGCTGGGGCCATCAACGGCGCCATCTGTTTCTAGAGTCTCCGTCTGTTCTTGGAAATCGCATTCAATGTGGCAGCTCGTGCAATACCAAAAAGCTGCATGACGCAGACGAATACGTCCCTCGGGTTGTGCGTGTGCACGCCATGCAGCATAATGAGAAGCCGTACAGTCCAAGCCGTATGCTTCGCCGAAGTTGTGGAAAACAGAACAACATGAAATAGACAACAAATAGTCTGAGCTTGATTTAGGCTTTCACACTGTGAAAAAGAATTATTTGTCTTTGCTGGCTTGAATTTTTTATGAACGAGTCACCACGACAGTTTGGTTGCAAACATCTGATGGAGGTATTATCTACAGGGCCACAAACACGGACGATCTTCTTCACTAATCTGTCATCTTACTATAGTATACTTTATCAGCGTGATGTACATTATTTTCTTTGCAAACCGGTCAAATAAAGGAATTAGATGAAAGTATTTCGTCAATGGAACAGCATTCGTCTGCACGTGTCTATGAGAATAAGTGCATGTAACAATATAACTTACATCAACATATTGTACAGTAGAATTTTTGTGCTTAACATTACTCAACTACATACATTTCAACTCAATATCTCCGTATATATCGAGTGAAGCGGATTCGGCCAAAGTCACGGAGATCGCGAGCGCAATTTATGAAATATATGAAGACAAGCATAAAATTCGCTTCTCTCGCATATCGCATCATTCTCTTCTCTCTTAATTGCAAAGAGAATGATGCACTGGCGTGACATCCTTGCATTTGTTTAAAAAACAAGCTGATTCGGGTTTTCTAGAAATTCAGTCACCTGCTTGTCTTCAGGCAACACACCCAGCGCTAGATACCCAGCATATTTCATATGAAGCTTGACAATTACTTCGGCAATCTCAGGTCGATTTTGGGCCAAAGTATCACTTAAACGCGCATTCTGTGCGCAAACTAAGTCCATTTCATCCACCGTCTTGTCGTCCACACCCATACCATTAGTCTCCAGCAGATACTGTACGTGTGAATGGCCACGCCTCTCAGCCATATCAAATGCCGTCTCGTCCAGTTCGTTCGGCATGTCTGGATCTGCTCCCGCGGTCAGCAAGAGATACGTGGCGCGATAATTGCCATCACGACTAGTAAAATGCAAGGGGGTGTTTCCATTCGCGTCCTCAACCTGCGGATCGGCACCAGCATCCAGCAGCTGTTCCACGACATTTGAGTGTCCAGCCATGCATGCCAGCAACAGTGCTGTTGTGGCTGAGTTCTGAACTGGAAAATCGCACTTTGCTCGAGCTGACAGCAGGGCGGCAACGACCTTCGAGTGACCTTGCTTAGCTGCAAGATGTAGCGGTGAATAGCCATTGAGCGCCACCACATCCGTGCGCGCATTATACTTGAGAAGAATATTGACCGAGCGATCATGATTATTATTGCAAGCGACGTGCATGGGTGAAGTGCCATCCAACGCCACCTCGTTGGCGTTCGCACCACGATCTAGTAACAGCGTGAGAACAAGATGGAAGTCGTTAGCGGCAGCTACGTAAACTAGCGACTGGCCTAGCGAGTTCTTGACGGATAGATCAGCAGCATTTTTTATAGCATCCATTACATCTGCCAAGTCGCCTTTGGCCACAACATCGAGTAGCCGCTTGCGCTGCTTTGCTGTTGTAATAACCGCCAGCTTGTGTCCAAGAAATTGCCAAACCTTCGCGCTGCGATGACGGTAGCCATTAAGCAAATGGTTGCCCACTGCTCCCTTTTTGGCACTTACGGACACGAGTGCTCCATTTGTCGGGTAAACGTAGCCGCGCGCGGCTTCAAGTTGCTGCTTCACGGGACCACTTAGCGTCATTGTCGTCTTAAAATATCGTTAAGACTGAAGTACGAAATGGGTGGGAAGACAAGCGCTTGCTTGTTGATAAGCTGGAATAAACGAGAATCGATAGAATTTATCGGCAATTGATAATACCTGCTCGGAGGGAGCAAGGTGGCAGCGGAGGTGGCTTTGCTCAAGACTGAGAAAATGCTCGAGTGTCAGGTCAGAAGGACTTAGTGGAGTCATAGCCGTTCAAATAGCCCCGACCCCTAGAGCCTCTTGAGGCTTACAAACTACAAGAGTTTATATGTTCAGTTCGTTTGGCGTTGGCTTGGCAATCAACGAATAAGGAAGCTAGCTAGCTGTAGTTGATGAGTGGCTCTTGCCGACCAGACCGATAAATGCATCTCTACTTAAGTCGTGAACAGACAAACCCACCGAGACTTTTCGCTGCTTAGTCAATTTGCAATGTTTGATGGAGGGTCGGAAGAAGCTCTCCGTGTCCCATACTAGATTAAGTACGCGTTGTGTTTACGACATGCCGTATACTGTACAACCTAATTGATTGATTGTCCAGCACATTGGATCGTCTTGTTGTTGCCTGCTGCCTATCTTTCAGGTATCTGCCGTGTAGTACAAGGAAAGTATATCGATGCTCGATGAAATAGATCAATTCGCTTCTTGGCAAGTTCACGCCACTATGACATAACTTTAGTATATATTAAAACGCCTAATCCGTGTCTAATATATAAGCAGGAATGCCAAAATAAGCACACTGACGTGTGAAAAGTCACATATCAGTTTTCTTATATAAAATGCTTTTGATGCATGCTACCCATTATAATATAAA